GGATGCAGGTTGCTGTCACAGCTGGGCTGTAACACTTGAGCCCTAACAGGCTTTTCTACAACAACACCTTCGTCCATCACCCTATTTATATCCTTCTAAGCCAGTGGTTCTTAATTGGATGATTCTTAACTTTGTCCCCAGGGGGACATTTGATAATGTCCAGAGATGCTTTTGGTTGTCACGTGTAGGGTGGGTGGGTGCTCCAGGCAGCTAGTGTGTAGATGGCAGAGATGTTACTCAGCGGCACACGGTGCAGGACAGTGTCTGCTGTGGACTGAACTGTGTCCCCCTCAAATGCACATGTTGACTCCCTAACCCCCAATGTGACTATGTTTAGGAGACAGGGTTTTTAGGGGATAAGGAAGATTAAATGGTGGTCGCCATAATGGTGGTCTCCTAGTTGGGTAGGACTGGTGGCCCTGTAAGAGGAGGAAGCCGGGGCTCTGTCTCTCCAAGTTCATGCACTGAGGAGACGTTGTCTGCAAGTCAGGAGGAGTACTGCTACCAGGAACTGAACTGGCTGGCACCGCGGCTTTCCAGACCTAGAACTGTGAGAAAATTAATTTCTGTCGTTAGTCCACCCGGTCTGTGGTGTTTTGTTACGGCAGCCCAAGCTGAATAAGGCAGTCCCCCACGATGCAGGATTACCTGGCCCCAAGTGACAGTAGTGGTGAGGCTGAGAAGCCCTGTTGAGTTTGAAGAGTCTCAGATGTGCGTGTGTAAGTCTGAGCTGTAGGTGGGGTGACTGACTCATCCTGCTTTTTTATATGAGCCATTCTATTACCTGACAGTCGACATAACAATTACATTAAGTTAATTTGCAGAGTAAACAACTAACTGCTACAATATAAACATATAGTGTATATGTATGTGTGTGTGGTACATACATAAAGATAAAAAGAAATAGCTAATCTAAAGAAAAAGTTTAGCAGGAAAGATGAGGACACTGTGTGTTGTGGTTTTGAGGCCTTTTAAATGGAATATAGGAACAAAAGTATTTACCAAATCAAACATACTTCAATAAAAAATAAATTTAAAAAGTATTTACCTATGACTACACATAGATCAAAATGTTGCGAGTTACAGCTAGTATCATATATCGGAGGAACATGTGACACGAATACAACTAAAGCAATTGTATACATAATACAGTAAATGTTCCCAAAATTTATAATTATTTAAAAGTATTTTTATGAAAGACCTTTACCTGATTGGAATTTCAAAGGAGACATGAGGACACTTGTTAGGAGAAATAATAAATACACACGTCTCTACCCATGAACATATGAATGATAAACTCTGCTATTACTTTCTGGTTTGTGGGACACATTTTTTCCAGCAGTGACCAGCACAAGCATAGGTATAGAGACAGGAGCCCTGTAACCAGGGCTGGAATTTTTTTCAAGTTAGAGGAACCACTTTGGTGGTAGGAAGGTGATGAGTCCAGGCTGGTTGGAAAAAGCTGATAAATAATCTAAAGTCCCAGGGAAAAAACTTAGGGCAAATTTGGGCACCCATCTGAGGTCAACCCAGACTTGTGTCCAGAGAAAGGTGGGTCTACCATAGATTCTTAAAGGTCTGGCGCTGGAACGCTTGAGAGCTTGGTGGTGCAGGGGCGGTCAGAAGTGAGTAGGGAGAGATTTCAGAGAAGGCCAGCGAAGTGACTGTTTCAAAAGGAAGTGGTCGTCTACAAGTGAGAGAGAAACAGAGACAAGATGCAGGCTGAGAAGTGTCCACTGGTTCCAGGAAACTCACCGTTTGTCACAAAAACAGCCTCAGGGGAAATCTGGGGTGAGAAACCAGTTTCCAGTGGTTGAAGAATGAGCAAGGAGGGGCGAAGCAAAGACTGTCAGCGCGGGTAAGATCTCAGGGCAGTTGGTCCCCATATCCGTGGACCAGTGAGAGTGGGAGGGGACGGACATCCTTCCACATAACTGTATCCACGTTCTGAACCTTTGGCTCCTATTCCTAACTCAGAGTTGGAAGACTTTGCTACTAATGGTGGTGGTGGAACATGAATAAATCTCTAGGATGACACCGTGGACTCATGTATCACTAAGAAGCTGTTGTTCCCTCCTCTTGGCAAATGGAAGGTGAAAACAGAGGAGTCATATCTTGCCTCAGGAACACAGCTTTCAATGGAGATTGAATTTGGTCCTTTCCCGCTACCTCCTGATTCTGCGGTGCATCTGTTGTATGAAATGGAATGAAGGAAACAGATGGGGAAGGCAGACTGCGAGTCCGGCCTTATTGTTGTAATGGGAATATGGGAACTTGAGGGTAAACACAGAAGGAAGAGACGCTGGGCTGATGTAGGGAGGAGATGCTATCTCAGCCTTCAAACCTCAGCTTTCCTAATACCCAAGAGACCAGGATACTGTAGCGTCAACCTGCAGAAACAGATTTCCAGGCACTTTGAGAAAGGGAGGTGGGCTAGACCAGCGATGAGTGTGCCTGATTTAAAAATTACATATATGTATATAATTCAGCCACGAGAAAGAAGGAGATCTTGTCGTTTATGACAGCAAGGATGGACCTTGAGAGCACTGTGCTAAGTCAGAGAAAGACAATTACTGTATAATACCACTTATGTGGAGTCTAAAGAAGGCCAGACTCATAGAAGCAGAGAGTAGAATGATGGTTACTAAGGGCTGGGGTGTGGGGGAAATGGGAAGGTGATATTTAAGGATATAAACTTGCAAGCAGTAGACAAGTGAGTCCTGGAGATCTGGTGCACAGCATAGTGATTGGAGACAACAGTATTGTATGACAGTCATCAAACTTGCCAAGAGACTAGATCTTAACTATTCCAACCACAAAAAAGAAATGGTAATTATGCGATGTGATGGGGCTGTTAGCCAACACTACAACGGCAATCATTTTACAATAGAAAAGTGGATCAAATCAACACACTGTACACCTTAAGCCTACACGATGTCCTATGTTGGTTGTATTTCAGTTTAGGAAAGCTCTTCTCAGTCTGAGATGACAGGTGCCCTCTTATGTCTCCAATGCTGCCGCAAACGTAGCCTCTTCTTACCGCACCTATCGTGGTTCATCTACACCATCAACACCAGTGGGTGAGAATGAGGGGGGAAGAGGTCCCCTTTATCCACCCAGTTGACCAATTTAGAGTTCTTGTTGATCCTACCACCTGCTTACCCATCATTTATAAACAATAAAATGAAGTATGGCTCCTGTGCCTAAAATATGTCAAAGTGTCCACCTTCTCTGAGTTGTTCTCAGCTGACATCTAGAATAATGTAGGAGGCTCCTGGCCGGTCTCACTGGAGATGTTCTTTCTCATTTTTCAGTTGAGATGAGCTTAGCAAAAGAAGAATACAAAGGAATTTTCTAATTGGAACAATGAGTGTCTACAAGAAACTGTAGCAATTAGCTTACTCAATGGTAAGGTATTAAAAATATTCCCCATAATATTGGTACTAAGAAAAGGACACCTGCTATCATTACTCATGTCCATTAATGCACTGGAGGTTCTAGCCAGGTAATAAGACAGTAAAAAAAAAAAGGAATCAGTTTTGGAAAAAAACTCTAAAAATGTTTGAATCTAAAACTGTCAAAATTAAGATGTGAACTTTGCAAGACACATTCAGCATACAAAAATATTTTATTCTCACAGTACCAGCAACCCACAACAGCAATAAAATTATTCAAAGAATGACACCATTTACAAACTAAAAGTCATGCAAGTAGGAATCCATCTGGAGGTGATGTAACTGGTGGGTATATCTTGTGGGAGTTAACGAAAGTATGCACATTCTCTACGCAGAAGACTACAAGATACTCTTTAGAGAAAGTACTGAGATGAAGTTTAGTGGTGAAATATACCACATTTATGGTTGGAAACTTCCGGGGATGGAAAATTGAGATGATGGTTCTCCCTAAATTGATCTGTAGCTTCAGTACAATCTCTTGTGAAAGTCAGGAGCGTGCTTTGTGAAAACTGACATCCTAAAGTTAATACTGAAAGTCAAAGCGTGCAGAATAATCAAGGCAATCTTGAAAAATAAGAACGAAGCTGGAAAATATATGTTACCAAGCCTCGAGACCGTGGTGTAGTCATCACTCATAGCTGGACCCCCAACTGGGTTACCTGTATCAGTTATGGGACCCCTCTCCTCTGGGTTGTCAACCACAGAAATAGGTAAGTCATTCTCAACTCTTCTACCCAACCCCCCATGCTTTTGTTTTCTTCTGCATGTTTCCTTATTCTCACTGCAACCAGAAGGGTCTTTATACAGTGCACAGGCATCGTAACACATCCTTGATCAAAATGTTTAATGAGCTCCCTTTGCCTTAAGGATAAAATGTGTGTTTATTTACGTGGCTTCGATGGCCACGCTTGATCTGTCTCCTGCATTTCCCCAGCATCACCCAGAGCCTCTCTCTCTCTCTTTCAGGATCAAAGCTCCCATTATACTGCATGTTTTCACCCCCTATCTTGCACCTGAGCCTTTGTATAAACTGGTGCAGACACCCGCCATCATCTCCTTTCCTCACCTCTGCACCCTCCTCAGTTTCTCTATTTGACGGAATCTTGCACAGGAAGAAGCTCCAAGGGCATCTTTTATTTACGCTGTCACAGGACTTTTCCCCTTTTATTTTCTCACTTCTTTAAGATCTCTACTCTTGGGCAATAAATTCTGTTACGGCGGGGACGATCTTGCCTCGGTGTGTTACACCTTCCCCAGTGCCTGACACAGAGAAGGCTCTTGTACCAGAGACTAGAATTGCTTATTACAACTCTTATATCACTGTTCACTTCATTGCTAATGGGAACAGCTTGCCATAGAGCCACTTGGAATAAAGGCTCCATTTCTCAACCTTCCTTGCATCTAGGTGGGGCAAGCTATTAAGTTCTGTCCATTGGGAAATACATGGAAGTGTTTTTTGAGTGTTTCCAATAAATCTTCATAAGAAACAATTGGCCCTTATTTTACACCTCCCCCCCACCCGCTTCCTCCGCCCCTCCCTCTCACTCACTACTCACAGTAGTGAATTATAGAAAAATATAATTCAACATTAACTAGAAAGTCTTGGACCTTAGAGCACGTCGTAAATGAAGAACAGGAAGAAGGAAATTCAGCAGTGGGGCACTGGTAATAATTGGTGAGATTTTCCATTGCCTGTAGGACCAGGAATAATGATGGTTACCATGCACTGAGTGACTTACGTATGTCAGAGCTTATGCTGGCTTCTGGTTATTCTTGATCTCATTAAATCTTCATGTCACCCCTTTGAGGTTGGAGTTAATATCCTCTGCTATTTAAGAGAAAACTCAGATTCATAGAATGAGTTTGACCTGTTTGAGGTATTGGAATGTTGAGGAGAGGTGGTGACCCACATAATGGGCATATTGATGGACTGATCAAGTAGAAACTCAAAGAAAGGAAAGGGTTTGTGGTGCCCAGCCAACATTTCAAGGGCCATACTCAGGAGTCTCACGTTCCAAGCACTACTCCAGCCCTGTAAATATCCATTTATCCAACATATATTTCCTGAGAACTCTCTCAGTAGTGGGAACTATGAACACAGCCGTTAAATCTGACATAAATTTAATTCACGTGAGTTCACAGTAGATACAGGAAAATAGATATGAATGTAGTATTAGGGTTCAAGTGCTGTCAGAGAGAAATTCAAGGTGCTTTGGGAGCATAAGAGCAGTGTCTTCAGTCAAGCCGGAGGGTTTGGGAGACTTTCTTGGAGGAGATAATATTTACTAAGAGACCCAAGGAACAAGGCAAGGTGTGGATGAAGAGGTGAGGAAGATGAGACCCTTCAGGCGCACGGGACAGAGGGAAGGAGGGCGTGGCTGAAATCCAGCCAGGACACGTCTCATGGCCGTGCGGTTTGATTGCATCTGTTGCCTGGTCCCTGCCTCTCTGGCTCCCGTTCCATTTGATAAATGCCTATTCTGTACTGGTTGTTAAATATTTTGAATCACATCTGCTGAGAAAGCAAAGAAGAAACGGATAAAGACAAAAGTCGGAAGGAAGTGATTCCCGTGGCCATGCTGTTAAGGTGTTTTCGGGGAAGACCAGAGCGGTTAACGTCTGGCTTGCAGGGAGCCCGCGCGGTAATACGGAGAGCCCAGAAGAGACAAGGGGGTTTGTCTGCAGAGGAAACTGAGCATCTTCGTACCCACTCCTGCCGAACTCCGTGCAGTTCTGCCTCGGTTTTCTGCGACGACCCCTCCTCCGCTGGGCTCCCACAGCCCACATTCAGGGTAGGCTGTCGGCTTTGCCTGCGGCCACTACATCTCTTGGCTGTTTCTCCAGGGGTCTCTGTGCTCTGAACCTTCTCCGGCATTCCCGACTTGAAACCCTGTTGGCTCTCTTCTGAGACTTCTTCCTGTGAAGCCAGTCTTCAGCCAGGAGCCACACGAGGGCCACCAGGACCAGGAAAGCTAGGCCAATCCGAAGGAGATTCTGGGCAGTGTGATCCCAGAGGGCGAGATCTGGGGTCAGAAGAACAGGCGATCACTCACGGGAACCTACTGAGGCCCTTTGCCACATCTGTCTCCTTCCTCCTTGCCAGATCTTCCTTCCTCTGGCGCCTGCAGCCCCAGCTGCCAGCTTACCTTTCTCGAATGGTGTCTCTGTGGTTAACAGATAGGAGTCCCAGGGGTCTGCAGATGATAAGGAAAGTGAGGACGTGAGGAAAAGAGGTGATGGTGGCCTCCTCCGTCCTACCCTTGGATATAATCTACCCTGTGGCTTTTCTAGGTCTCCACCCCACACTCCAGGCCCTAGTGGCTTCATCTGACACACAGAATGGAGAAGTCAAAAGACAGATACGTCAGGGGAGTAATTCAGCTCCGGGACTATTACGAATGTGTCCTCAGTTTCCTCATTAGGTCAGTCACTGCCCCGTCTTCCTCCTCACAATCAGTCTCACCATTCAGTCTCGCCAGGCTTCTTCGCGGTCCCAAATGAGTGCCCCCCACCCCCCGGCCCGCGCACACCCCGCTGTCCCCTCTCTGGCGGCGTTTCCAGCCCCGCCGGCCTGCTCGCCGCCCACCCTGCCCGTCTTCCTGCCAGGGGGGGGCACGAGCGCGGGCCACTCCCTCTCTCTGGAGCCTTCTTTCTGCGGATAGCCACAGGACCAGCGCCCTCAGCTCTTTCAGCTGTTTGACGCCTCCTTCTCTGCGAGGCGAATTCGGACCACCGTGTTTGCTGCGGCGCCCCCCCCCCCCGTCTCAGCACCGCCCTTCCCTCCCGTGTGCTGCTCTGGCGGCGGGT